TAGGCTTTACATCGACCTCTGTTTGATTCAGTAAAGGATTTTGGGGTTTTGTGATGGGATCCCTATATTAGATCTAACATCTTATGAGGTCTTCTTAGTTTGGCTCTGAAGGTACTGCTAGATTTTTTTAGTATGCATTTTCTCAGTTTAAGATTTGGTTTTAGGAGCATTGAGCAATTGTTAAAAAACCTGGAAGTTTGGGGTTGATTTCCAGTGATTTTAATTCCTTAGGGCACTTAGGATGCAGTCCAAGATACGATGTGTTGGATATTTTCGAAGCTATAAAGCTGTGTTAGTGATTCTCAATAGTGAACAACAGGTGGTGAATTGAGTTGGCTAGTTTTGTATATATATATTTTTCGCTTCTTTGCAAACCACAATGTGTCACTACCTCCGATAGCTGTTTATTTTTTATAGGTAAAATTTCCTTGAACTTCTTTTACTTTTAGTTGACAAGTATCTGAAATATGCCCTCTGTGAATGGGTGATCGATTTATCCTTAGTAAAGCCTAGGCCCGCAAATAGTGTATAAAGATCAATATGCTGAAATCTAGAAGAAAACTAAAGTAAAATAAAGTAGAAACCACCAAAGCACACGTCTCTTGGAAGAAAGATGGCACTTTTCAAAGAAGGAGATACCCACCAAGACTGCCTATCATTAACCCATAGAACCCCATCAATTACAATCACAACTTGACAAAGTCTTAAACGGTATATCGGTTTAACCTGGACAATGCTCATAAGTACACAATCGATTTGTTTTCTCAAAAAAAAAAAGGGTATACGATCGATTTTCTATATGGTAAGGTATCTTGCGTGTTTTTGATGGAGTCCTAACTTAGATCTGACCCTTATGGGCCTGCTCAGTTTGCTGGAGCCTTCAGTTTAAAGTTTAATACTAGCATTATTACTATATATACATTGCCTACTTAAGCGCGTGTTTCAGGTTCCATTCAACAATTGCTAATAACTTGATGTTTTGGTCGATTCCAAGTTGTCTTAAGTCCCTAAGGATGTAGTTAACTTACTCGGTGGGTTAGTGAAGTTCTCCTGTCTGTGATCTCAATACTTCTGAATACTGAACCATTGTTGGTGAATTGAATAGTCTAGTTGGTATCTGATTCATATATTGTGTTCCTTCATCATTTGTGCTTGCGTGCCAAGAAGATAATTACAATTTTCCCCTCTAATTTGCAGATCACAATATTTCACTACCTTTATTAGGTAACATCTTCTGATTTTCTTAAGAAGTTTAGCGTCCTTATGTTTCCTTGACTTCTGTTTGATAAATACGTGAAATATTCCTATGTGACTCCATGGCCAGTTTATCTTCTTTTAGTAAATCCTAAATCCTAAAAGTTCAAAAAGATTAACACGATAACTAAAAATAAAAAGACTAAAGGAAATAAAAGAGAAGCCACAAAAAATCAGATCCCAAAGAATAAGAAAGAAGACACTTGTCAAAGAAGGAAACCTATCAAGACCACCTTGGAAGGAAGGAGAAAGGAGAATCCGTCAATCTTTTCTCTTGCCTTTTATCTATACTATAATTCCTTGGTAGATTTTTTCCCCTCCTGTCATCAAAGAACCCCATCTCTTATGATCATAATATCATTGCAAGAGATGCCTCTAAGGAAACCCAATCTCCTCTTACACCTCATCAAATCCCGTCTCTCAAAATCAAGATTTTGAATATTGGATAAATATCGGACAACCAAAATCTATATATGATTGCGGATATCGAAGAAATATCAGAGTGCCATATCGGATGATGTGCATATATAATATAATGTTCCGATAAGTTATCTAAACATAGTTAATGAAATCTATGCATACAAAAATATAAACAATATATGTTTACTGTTTAGGATCACTAACCAATAGTAGAAACTTATTTAGGATAAAAAACCTGCTAGAATTTGCTAAATAAACTTCATAGAGTTGGAATTTTGTCCATAGAACATTAAAGAAATCTTGCAAAACTATATTGTTATGCACTAGGCCATATAAAATGACATATTTGCATCGATCGGCCATGTTAAGGATGTATTGCTAGAAAATTATCAAAAAGCGTAAGAATATTGAGACTATATTGTTTTGCGTCAAGCCTTATAAAAGGATTTATCGGTCGATATATTAGCAATATTAGGGGTATTTAAAACAATGTTCAAAATCTAGTTTTCCTTTTAATTTGGGTTCAATTTGATTTTTCTGGTTAAAACATCGTAGTTTCATGGTGATACTAAAGTGAGATGCAAATTTGGAATACATGATGGGCTGATCTCTTCTTTGATTGAGGAGATAATAAGTGATACACTGCAAATTAGAAAACAACAGTTTCTATATTTCTAGGTTATCTACTCCTAAAATTTAAGTTTCTAGCCTTTCAATCCCTCCAAAGTTAGTCATCAGTAAGTCTAAAATCCTAGTTCCTACAAAAATAGTATGGTGATTATCCGCTGTTGCAATGGTGCTCGGATGTTCGAAAAGAGGAAAACACTAAAAAAATACTATGATTTATTTATCTGACAAGGTGGTAAAATATATCCATATTCTCAGTAAAAGTTTTTTGTCTTTTCACTTAGTACATTATCCCTAAAACAGACGGACTCATTGGCTTTTCTGCTAATTTTGTATTTGTACTTATGATTGTTTTAGTTGTGTTGGTCAAGACTCAAGAGTGACTTAAAGTTGAGGTTTTATGCACTTAATCCTTGACTTGATCTATGATATACTACTTGCTTGTAACAGTATCCTACTTAATTTAACTCTTCTGTACGCTCTTCTCAGCTTTTGTTTTCTTTTCTCAACAACCTTTGTAAGGCTCCTATCATTTTGGGTTGCAAATATGTAGAGTGAAGGATGACAGTATGTCATTGATGACCAAGAACAAACTGCATGAATTCAGAGCTGTAAGAGATCAGTCGAAAGATTAAATAATCTTATACTAGGTAAGGCATTAATTAATTTGATCCAGAGGAGTATTTGTCAACTATGGAGTTATGAAGGGTTTATGTCTCTCATCTGTGGAAATGGTTTCTATACTAAATCAACATAAGGATTGAAAAACCTTCTTGATAAATGGAAGAATTTGGGTCCAATTTGCGAGCAGATAGAGTCCTAAGGTTTCATGTAATTGCTAGGGAATTTATTTCTATTCTTATATCAATTTGTATATTCGCTGTTATGATCTAATATATACTTCCAACACCACTATACTTTACGAAAAGATGTCTTGCTTAAGTTTTTTATGTCAATTGGCTGAAGGGTTTAGAATTTTGATTTAATCTTTTTCCCACAAAGAAAAACACAAGATTTAGCTTTAGCCAACCTTCTCCGTTTACTGATCTACTTGCATTGTTGTTTTATTAAAAATTGATTCTCATAAGGTGAAGAAACAACTGATTCATGTCCACTTTTTTCCTCTCATGCGGATGCACATGAAATTCAAAGGAAAATGCAATCAAAATTTTGTACTTTCATTGTGATGATTTGTCAAAAGATACAAACAATAACAACAAAGACGTTATCCCAAATGTTTGAGTTCGGTTGCATGAATCCTATCCTTCCATTCTGTTTTATTATGAGCTATCTCTTCCGTTAAATTAATCATTATCATATCCTTCTTAGTTGCTCCCAACCAAATTTTTTTAGATTTTCCTCTAGATCTCTTTGTCCCATTAACTACAATATTATCTCATTTCCGAACCAGTGCATTAAGAGGTCTCCATTGTACATGACCAAACCACCTTAGTCTATTCTCTCTTATTTTGTCCTTAATTGGAGCAACCGCAAATTTATTATGAATGCATACATTTTTATCCTATCTTTTAGTGTATATCCACAAGACCATCGTAACATTCTCATTTCTGCTACACTCATTTTTTGCACATGTTTCTTAATTGTTCAATATTATGACCCATAAAGCATTGTTGATGTTATAACTTTCCTATAAAAATTTTCCTTTAGTATCATAGGTATTTCCCCTTTAGTCTCATAGGTGTTCTACGATTGTAG